CCCAAATGTCAAAATAGTTACCGGCCATCGGATGTCAGTTCTGTTAGTTTTATCTGTAACTTCTGTCAATTATGTTTTATTTCCATATTTGCGTTCCCCAAAGTAACCGGAATTTTCAGTAAGCATTTGTTGACCGATTCGGTTACTTTAGCTCTGTTCCAGCAGACATGAAAACCTTTCTAGAACGGTAATTTCCAGTCGATCAATCCATTTATCAATTAGGAAAAACGTTCAACTTATTGAAAAATAGGTGGGCAACTGAAAATTATTGGTTCTGGAACGGTTCTCATGTCTGTTGGAACAGAGCTAATGGTTTACGTTTGGTTATATTTGGACCATAGCCTTATATAGGTTATGTTCCGATATCAACTCTGTCAGTACTGAATTTACTGGACGCCGTTCCGATATTATTTTCAGTACACTGGATTCAGTCGATTCAGTACTGAATCACCACAAGAGTACCCTGTTGAAATTGGAACGGCAAATGACAGTAAAATCAGCACAGTAAATCCAGTACTGCCAGTTGATATCGGAACATGGTAGTACTTTGTTTAGAAGAAGAAGAAGATGAAGAAATCAGAAATCTTTTATGGAGACAGCGTAAAACGCAGATTTTCGGTACATGCTGCTTGGAAAAGAATATCTGCAGGAGAGTTTTCCACACTTTACAGTAGAGTGTTTTCACAGCTATCAGACCAATAGCCACCTTTACCACGTAAAAACCCCCCTCCAGCACAGCCATCATACCACTACCCACCTCCACTGTACCCCCTTCCGTGAAGCTCCTACCCTGAGGAGGCACTTTTTACCCACCTGCACTGTAAACCCTCTTCCGTAAAACCCTCACTGATCTGAAAAATAAATGGATAAACAATCATACGGCTTGATTGGCAAAATTTGTGCGAAAATTTGGGGTCAATATTCTATGAACAGTTGTGCAACGGAACAGCCTAACGCCTGCGCAGTGTCTTATCTTTCGAAAAACTGTTCTAAATTTTGAAATTCCTTCATTTTCATTGGCAAGATTTTGTGCACGCACAGTACATGTATCTACTGCGCACGCTCACAGCTGCCCCAGTCAGTTGTTTTTGTTTAGATTATGACCTCGTAAATTAGCAGCATTACAAGCGTTCTTTGTTTATCCATTTATTTTTGAGATCAGTGAAAGCCCTCCATTAATCTATTTTCAAAAGGCTCTTACTCTGAGATGGCACTTTATTATATCCCTTCACTTTCTTGAAAACTAAAGAATATTTAACCAATTCTTCCATTTGTATTCAAATTCGTCAATTTTGGGGTTGGCCCGGGTCAAATCCCCAAAATTTCAGCTCAAAAGCGCCGCCGATCTAGAGATTTTCCCACGGTATCGAAAAACTTCCCAGGCTCAAGTGCCCCCGACTATCAGACCAATACCCACCTCTACTACGTAAGTGGTCCACCAGATTCACAAGCAAAATGTTATTATTGCAATAAAATTAATCTCATGGAGTTTAGAACACTATTGACGAATACAAATGCAGGAATTGTTGAAATATTCTTTAGTTTTCAAGAAAGTGAAGGGATATGAAAAGAGGTACCTCTTCAGAGTAGAAGCTTTTTGACGTAGTGGAGGGGGGTATTGCTCTGATAGCTGTGAGGTGGGTATTGGCAGAGCTGAGCAGTAGCCCTACCAAGTAGTTAAGCTACTAGCTTAGCTACTTTTTTGGTAGCTAATAACTTATTCAAGCTATTTTGAAAAAAAAGTAGCTTGTAGCTGTAGCTTTTGGTAATGTGTTTCAAGTATTCATAAGCTACTGTGAAAAGTAGCTAGCTACTAAAACAAGCTACTTAAGCTACTTTTGGTAGATAGTTAATAGTTATTTAGGTATTAATGGCGGAAAGTGTCATTTACCGCCCGAGGGTGTGGTCAACGATACTTAACGCCCAAAATACTTATTTTAACCGTACGTTTAGTTACGTTTACGTAGTTACGTTTTATGCGCAGCGGACTCTTCTAGTTCAAAAATGAAATAACTATACCTATAATAAAATGGCATCCATTCGACATTGTTTTCAAAAATAAACAGTTTTCCTCTTATAAAGGCACGTTTCCACCAACCTATCGCCCGCGTTTGAATTTACCGCTCGATAAAAGTAACTTTATGCTTTAATTGCTCAAGCTACAATTATCATTTTCCGGAAAATTCTTATCCTGCCTTGCTCAGACTAGTTTCTAGTTATCTCTGTAGGTAGGTACCTATGTTTTATGTGTCCTACTTTATGCCCGCATTCGCAGATCACTGTGATCAAAGTGAACCTAATAAATTAATGTCCAGTGGTTTTTGACAAAAATATGAATACTACTTCTTAGAGAAAGTTAATATGTTATTTTCGTATGATGATATTATGAAATTAAATTAGGTAAGGCATGTACATTGATAAAAGTAGCTTAAATAGTAGCTTTCACTAATTCAAAATGTAGTTAAGTTACTAATAGCTTAGCTACTTTTTCAAAGAGGTAGTTGAGCTACTAGGTAACTTAGCTACTTACAATAAAAAGTAGCTTGTAGCTTGTAGCTAGCTACTTTTTCCAAGTAGCTTGCCCAGCTCTGGGTATTGGTAATAAACAGGTGCATTAATTTTATTGCAATAATAAATATTTTGCTTGTGAATCTGCTAGTCTGATAGCTGGGGGCACTTGAGCCTAGGAAGTTTTTCGATACCGTGGGAAAATCTCTAGATCGACGGCGCCTTTTGAAAATAGATTAATGGAGGGCTATGATGGCTATGCTGGAGGGGGGCTTTTACGTGGTAGAAGTGGGTATTGTTCTGATAGCTGTGAAAACACTCTACTCTTTACCCTTATAGCCGTCACACACACTGAACAAGCTGTTACAGGAGGAATTATCAAAATAATGCGCGCCACCCCCAAGAGTTGAGCTGCAAGTGGCTGCAAGTTCTTGATCTAATCGCGCTAGTGTTCTATGTTATTGGTAAAATGATTGTCATCGTCACGCCATGCCGCACACGCGTACGGTTACTATTGGTGAATTGGTGGTGATTCTTCGCGCGGAATACCGCGCGGGTGCATTTTCGCGCCTCTCATGTTAAATTATAAAATAGCTCAGCCGAAATAAAAGTAATTTTTTTTCTATATTCTAAGAGTAAGAATTTTATGAAATGCAGGACATTTGGTGTCCTGCGGTTAACTCCGGCAGGACGCAGGACACAAGACCCTGAATCCAGGACATCCTGCGAAATCCAGGACGCCTGGCAACCCTAGTAATAAGAGACATGTGAAAACTTGACAAGAATTAAAATTAGTTTCTAATAGAATGATAATTTACTTCTTAAGCAAAGGTAGAGTTTTATTAACACTAATATTATTCAATTTGTTAACGAGTCAGTGGTAAATCAATTCAGCTAGTCAGGACTTTGATCACTTATAGAAGTTTTCTTGAAACTTACTCAAAACTCTTCCAGCCGTTCTTAACTTGATGCACAAAACTGTGCCTAATACTTGATTACGAATATATAAAGGCCGAATTAGTTAGTAGTTTTTAAGTTTAAGATTGGCTATGATACGTTTTAGATAGTATTTATTGTAAGTGTTGTAAAGAGTCGAGTTGTTCCAGTTAATTGGTGAAGTTATTAGTGTCAGAGAGTATAGTAGCGCGGAATGAATTATAGTTGTGGTAATTGGACTTTCATTTTGGAATAAAAGTACCCAAGATTTCTGTCACGCAAGCCAGAGCCGTGACATTGGTGTGAGAAGTGAGATATAACTCGAGGACTGCACAGTAAAATCCGATTGCAGGATAGCGCAGATACTAGTGAGTAGGTATTGTGGTTTGGACACTAAGTGAATACTGACTGGGACAGTTGGTCAGTGTGAGCAGTGATAATCAGTAAAAAAAGACAACCGATTTTTGTAAATCACCCTGGAAGTGACTGTATATCCTGTTCATAATCCGATGTCCACAGGTGCAGGTAAATTTATCACCTTTCCCTATCAAATAGCATTGAAAGGTGATTTTACCTGTACCTACCTGTGGACATCGGATTGTGAACGGATAATATATCCGATTTTGACTATGATAGTGAATTTTCAAGTAAGTTCTAAAAAATTCTTTTTGGAAACTAGAGGAAATATCGAATTGTGGCCTATCAAGTATCAAGCGACATTTTGTGAAACCGAAATTCGATACAGTGGGCACAACAATAACAATGTGGGACACATTGATGCAGACTTTGAAGAAATCATGGAAACACCTCGGTCCAGATAGACTTCAAGAAGTCGCAGATTTCATCTTGAAAGAAAAAGACGTATTTGTGATGGATAATCAAACCAGACGGACCAGTTTAATTCAACACAAAATTGATACTGTTGGATTGGCACACCCAATTAGACAACAACTTCGACGTATGCCATATTGATAAAATTGATAATTCAGAAGGACATTATTGAAGAGTCTCAATAGTCAATGGTCTGCGGTAATAGTATTGCTTACAAAAAAAGATGGAAGTCTTAGATTTTGTGTGGACTACTGTAAGCTTAATGACGTCACCAAGAAGGACAGCTTCCCTCTCCCGAGGATAGACGATACATTAAGAACTCTATCGGGCTCCAAATAGTTTTCCACTTTGGATCTTGAGAGTGGATACTGGCAAGTGGCAATACACAAAGATGACAAAGAGAAAACTGCCTTCAGTACCGGAAGCGGGTTATATCAGTTTAACGTAATACCTTTCGGATTGTGTAATGCTCCAGCTACGTTTGAGCGACTGATGGATCTTGTTTTGCGAAGCCTTACATGGAGAACTTGCCTGGTATATTTAGATGATGTCATGAGCATGGGAATTTGGTTCCAATAGCATCTCAATAACCTGAAAGAAGTTTTTGACCGCTCTCAGAATGCCAACTTAAAACTCAATCCGAATAAGTGTTTTTTATGAATGTTGAATAAATCAATAGCCTTAGAACCATGAGCTTCAACCAGATCGAAGAACTGTGTCCTTACCAAATTTACATTTTTATCATAAAATATCACTGAAAAAGCACATTGTTTTTTGACAGAAATATCGGTGGTTTCATCCATTATCAGTGAAAAGAAAAATCCTGGTTCAGTTAATTTATTATGCAAATCTGTAAGAAAATTATCGCCTAAACTATTACATATAATGGCAGTGGCTTTGCTTCTTTTTAAACTGAGTTGTTGCGCAATTTTTGAATCCGGAAAGATATTTTTTAAAAGTGGGGACAAAGAATCCATTAACAAAAAAGGTAGGTTCTTCGTAGCAAAAAGCGCACATAATTTTATTTCGGCAATTTTCACGGCAACCTCTTCTCTCTTAGCTACATAGAGATCTGTGATTTTTGTGCTTGTTGATACTTTTTGCCAATTTAATTTGTGTTTTGCACTACAGGAATGTTTTATTAAGACAGTTTTGTGCGCTACTACATCAATATTGCATACTTTACAGAAGGCGAAATTCCCTTGACTGGCTGGTTTTGAAGATTTTTCTAACCAACCCTTGAACTTAGGAATGTTCAGCCAGGAACTTACAAACCCGCTTTTTCTTTTTCTTTTCCTAGGATTCTGTGATGTATTCTTAGTTTTTCTGTCTGAATGTGTAGCCTAAAATTAATTAACTGATTATTATTCATATAATATTTGTTTATGAAAAGTAAAATATCTTAAATAGAAAATAGTTACATACATTATTATTATCATCTTCGCTGCTTTCCTCTATTGTACAGGATGTCGAGGGCTCCAAATGCTCCAATTCTTCAACAACGTCAGGTTCAGTAATATCATCATCATCAGTTTGAATTGTCGAAGTAGGAGCAATACTGTAGCCAACCTCTAGATTATTACTTGCATTATCATTGGAATTTGATACATTATTTTCGATCACAGATGGATTTGGATTTGGTTTTTGTTGTTTCTTTTCCTTAAAATACAACAATTATAAAATAGAAATATAGGTACCTATTCAAGCTACAACAAATAATTGTCATATTAACAATTATTGTTACTTGCTAACTTTTCCTATTGCTGCCAGAATTGAAAACAGGAATAAGAAATTAACTACCTTTTCTTTCTCTTTATAGCCAGCAAGCCATTTGTCCATTTTTCTTATGTCTTTGTTGCAGCACTAATGCTGCAAACTGCGACACTTTAAGCTCTTACTCACAAATCACATAGGTATCACAAATTAGATTTTACATTTTAGAAATTTATTATTTTGAATTTGAAGACCACGAAGACCAAGCTCAGCTTAGAGGTTATAAACTAAGCAACGGTTGCTTAGCAACCGTTTTTTTTTTAAACGCTGATACGATTATTCGATCAGTATAGCAGTTTGTATTCTATCTTTTTCTAATGAACACGATAGAACAAAGACAAAAAACACCAGCTGACAGATGATCGAATCAATGCCCTCTAGTAGTGGTTCTGGCTTCTGGCACCGATCCCAACGGAACAGAAACCAGCGCCGATGTTGCCAAATGCAAAATTATCATTTTCCATGCAAAATTACCATTTTCCTTACGTTTTTAAATTTAATTGATCGATCGGATGAATTATCCGTTTTTTATCCGATTTTTGACTGGGTGAGACAATTATCCGCAACCATGGTAAATTATCCGCAAATCGGATAATTATCCGCCAATTGGCAACACTGCCTTTGTGGCATCTGTCTTTCATGGCTACATTTTTTTGGCAGATATGGCAATGTGTGCGCATTCCAGTTTTTGATTATAGTTCATTGGTCCAAAATATATGAAATCAATTGACCTTTTGTTTGGACGCCATATTGCGGTGCGCGAACATAGTTGCCAAAAGTAGAAAAAAAAAATACTAGTGTACTGTCAACATTAAAAACAAAAGTTACTGTATAAATTACATTTAAAATTTAAATTTGCCGCCTATCTCAGGTCCGTGAAGTTTGCCCCTAAAGTATTAATTTTTTTTTGGAAAAATATGTTTTTTGTTAGTGCTTCGTTAGTGCTTCTTAGTGCTTCAATTGTTTTCGTTAGTGCTTTTTCTGTTTTCTGTAAATCGATTTTTTTGTAATTTCAAGGTCAGCCCTGACAATCTGTCAAAATGAACGAAATTTGTTACTATATTTTAGTGCTTCGTTAGTGCTTCTTAGTGCTTCAATTGTTTTCGTTAGTGCTTTTTTCGTTTTCTGTATATCGATTTTTTTGTAGTTTCAAGGTCAGCCCTGACAATCTGTCAAAATGAACGAAATGTGTTACTATGTTTTAGTGCTTCGTTAGTGCTTCAAATAGTTTCGAAAGTGCTTTTCTTATTTCTTAGATATTTTAGATTTTCACTTCAAGGTCAGCCCCCAAAAGTTTTCCGAATTACTCAATTTTGGTGTCAATTTTTAGTGCTTCGTTAGTGCTTCTCAGTGCTTCAAACAGTTGCATTCGAGAATATTTCCTTTTTGAGATATTTAACTTTAAATTTTCAAGGTCAGCCCTCAAATTATATGGGATTGAGTTAAATCTAGAGTCATTTTTTTGCGCATCGTTAGTGCTTTTTAGTGCTTTATAAAGTTTTCCTAATGCTCTTTCCGTAAGCCATGAAAGACAGATGCCACAAGGGGGAATGTTGTTTTTTTCTGTTGCTCGCTGACATATGAAGTTTTCGAAAGTTTTGTCATATTTACCTTCACAGGTTTCATCAATTGACTTTTTGTTCGGACGCCATATTGCGGTGCGCGAATATAGTTGCCAAAAGAAAAAAACAAAAATTACTAGCGGGCTGACAACATTAAAATTTAAAAACCAAAGTAACTAAATGATTGATCATAGCTATCCTTTTTGTTTGTTTACTTTCTCCCTCTGATTGATGAAAGTAAATAGGTAGATATTTTATTATTTCTATTCTGCCCAATACAAGCTAAAATTGATGGCTTTTTTTTTCAAAAACATTCATAATAGGCGGAAAATTCAAATTTAAATGTAATTTATTCAGTAACTTTTGTTTTTAATGTTGACAGTACGCTGCTAATTTTTTTTTTTCTACTTTTGGCAACTATGTTCGCGCACCGCAATATGGTGTCCAAACAAAAGGTCAATTGGAATACGTGTTGGAAGCAATTTTCGCCATTCAACATAATGAGTGTGACAAAAACAGGTATCCCCTCCGCAACAGCGGCACTAGGCTTCAGGTTCGTCAATATGTGTACGCATTCCAGTTTTTGGTTATAGTTCATTGGACTTTACTGACTTTGCCGTTCGTTTATTTAAAAAGTGTACTCGGTGCAGCCTCATTCGCGTTCGTTTATTAAAATTTCTGGCACTTTTATACAGCGTTCAACTGCTCCGTTCGCTCGCTGGTCACGTGACTACGGCTCCGCTCAGCACGCTCTGCTCTTTGAGCTAAATACCGAACGCAAGGTATGGAGGAAAGGGGAGGGGCACTCTCTATCTCTCTTTTATAGTGATTTAGTAAACCGATGTTGGCTTCAGTGGCGTCCCTGTGTTTTTTGTACATTTTGGAACAAGTTTGGGTGGTAATTTTAAAATAAAATCAGAAAACAGAAAAGGCATTAAGAAAACTATCTGAAGCAATGAAAAGCACTAATGATGCGCAAAAAAACTACTCTAGATTTAACTCAATCCAATATGATTTGAGAGCTGACCTTGAAAATTAAAAGTTAAATATCTCAAAAAGGAAGTATTCTAGAATGCAACCGTTTGAAGCACTGAGAAGCACTAATGAAGCACTAAAAACTGACAGCAAAATTGAGTAATTCGGAAAATTTTTGGGGGCTGACCTTAAAGTGAAAATCTAAAATATCTAAGAAATAAGAAAAGCACTTTCGAAACTATTTGAAGCACTAAGAAGCACTAACGAAGCACTAAAATATAGTAACAAATTTCGTTCATTTTGACAGATTGTCAGGGCTGACCTTGAAATTACAAAAAAATCGATTTACAGAAAACGGAAAAAGCACTAACCGAAACAATTGAAGCACTAAGAAGCACCAACGAAGCACTAACAAACAACATATTTTCCCAAAAAAAATTAACACTTTAGGGGCCAACTTCACGGACCTGCCTATCACGAATGTTTTTGAAAAAAAAAGTCATCAATTTTAGCTTGTATTGGGCAGAATAGAAATAATAATATATCTACCTATTTACTTTCATTGTCTTTCATCAATCAGAGAGAGAAAGTAAACAAACAAAAAGGATAGCGAGGAGCAATCATTTAGTTACTTTTGTTTTTAATGTTGACAGCCCGCTAGTAATTTTTGATTTCTTCTTTTGGTAACTATGTTCGCGCACCGCAATATGGCGTCCAAACAAAAGGTCAATTAAAAACAATTAAATATGTTCTTGTGACATTTCAAATATTACAAGGTTCAGTGGGCTTATTGTCACCAACAGGTTCAGTGGGTTGTTTTGCCAAAGAGATGCGTTTTTTCTTTGCCACTTTGGATGCTTCTTCCTAGATGGAGGTTCTGCTACATCAAAATCAGAACTTTCGTCAGAACTTGTAGGCTCATCTGGCGCATATTCTGATTTAGTAGCACTAAACGGATATGACTCTGTTTCACTCATTGGTAAAAAGCATTAACGAACAGGAGCAGCGGAATTGCGTGAAATGCACTTGAAAAAACAGTATAATGAGACTAACGACAACAGGCAGGCAAGAGGTCGGAACAAATCACATTCCGGCGCACTGACCTTGCATTCCACGAAACTCAACAAACACTCACGAACACTTGGTGCAAAAGAGTTGCAGCTTCGACTACGGAGCTGCATCCGTCTTGCGCCAAACAACTGAGGATGCAAAAACATTAATATACGTGTAATTTCCTCATTTATTATTGGATCTGCATCGTTTGTGCACCAGTCGATTCGCCTTTTTTTGTGCATATACCGTAGGTATATTTCAACCCAAAATGAGAGAAAAATGGAGCTGCATCCTTCTTGCAGCAAACTCCTTCCAAGAATGCGATTCCGCTTTAAGAAAATTGAAAGAAGCCTTATGTACAAGCCCAGTGTTGTCATATCCTGATAAAAAAGGCATGTTGATTTTGGACACAGATGCAAGCAACACCAGTATTCACGTACTTTCACAAATCCAAAATTCACAAGTGCATGTCGTAGTAGAGTACTATAGCAAGAGAGCCTTATTAAAGCCGGAACGAAGTTATTGTGTCACCATAAGAGAGTTGCTTGCCATAGTAAAAGCAGTCGACCATTTTTATAAGTATTTCTACGGACGTAAGTTTCTAATTCGAACAAATCACACGGCTCTAAAATGGCTTTTAGAAATGAAAACTTCCGAATGACAGCCTGCTAGATGGATTAAGAAATCGCAGTAAACGTTTTCCAAATTAAACATCGACCTGGAAACCTGCATAAAAATGCTGACGTTCTGGCGATGCAAAAAAGACTGTAAGCATTGTCAAACAATCGACATGCATGAGAAAAACACTGGGCCGGCTGTGAGAAATACGGGTCTGATCGTTGATGATAAATGGACTACCAAGCAAATGAGAGCAGCAGGTCAAGAAGCAGACCAGGACATCGGACAATTTCTATATCTTAAAGAAAATGATGAATGTAGGCCAGAATGGAGAGAAGTGTCGAATGAGAGTTTGATTTACAAGGCGTTGTACGCCCAGTGAAACTCTCTAGCCGTAGAAAATGGTTTACTGGAAAGAATTTAAATAAGTGCCAAAGTAAAATCTACTAAGAGCCAACTGATTATTCCAAAGGACCGAGTAGAGGATGTATTAAAAGAAATACATGACGGAACTTCAGGGGCACATTTTGAAACAAACGAACCCAAGATTTCCGTCACGCAAGCCAGAGCCGTGACAACACTTTGAAAAAACGACTCTATATTTTAAAAAAACACCATCTTGTTATGATGTTAATTAATTTTGCTATGACTTTTGATCAACCCATCAAAGACTTGACT